GTATTTAAATAATAATAATATCATACATACAATCCTAATGCACAGAAAAAAAAATTTAAACACACAAAACAAAACAAACAAATACGATTAAGTAGTAAAAACATAAATAACAATTATGATAATAAAAAATTCTATACTCAATATCAGTAGAACTAGTAGTGGCTAAAATGTATTTCAGGTACGGTTATTAATTAATTCATTTACTGAGCCTTCTGGAGTGTCAATGAGGAATATTTTTAAATGTTTTTTAAAAGAATGAAAGTGTTCAGTAGGTGTTATATTACTCAAAATATAATTAAGAAATTTTGGACTTAAATATGTAGCAGATCGTTGACCAATTACTTTGTTCATTTTTGGAACCACATATTTATTCATACGGCGAGTCTCATAAGGATGTTCTAACACAGGTAAGTAATCTTTCTTTTTAAATTGATTTAAACATAAATTAAAACAGTATAACTTTCTCACACTTAAAATTTGTGTCTCAGAGAATAGCAAGTCAGACGGATAGGTTAAATCTTTATTAAGCATTATCTTAAGAATTCTTTTTTGCATTTTTTGCAGAGGATCCAAATGAACGTCAAATACTCCCCCCCAACCAATAATTCCATATGATAGGTGACTTTCTACAAGGGCATGGTATAGGATTTTTAGATCACTAAAGGCTAGTATTTGTTTAAGGTATTTTAATTTATAAATTATAATTCGAACTTTTTTCAGTACATGTTGGATATGCAATTCCCATTTTAAATGTTGATCAATCACTATTCCAAGATATTTAATTGAGCTTTCCTGGTTAATTTTAAAGTTAGTTTCTCCAATTTTAATTTCATTAAATAATGGAAGATTGTAATTATGGCATGTAAATGGTATGTAACACGTCTTGTCAAAATTTATCGAAAGTAGCATATCATCAAACCAATTTTTAATACTCATTAAGTCATTTTCTACCATGTTCTTTAGATTATTCCAGTTATCTGCTTTATAAAATAGTGCTGTATCATCGGCAAAACTGACTATCTTTGCAGCACTAGGCACTGAGAAAAGCCCATCCATGTATAACGTAAATAAAACTGGACCCAGCACAGTCCCCTGGGGAACACCATATTTTATCTCTCTGAATCTACTAATGGAATTATTAATTTTTACACATTGTAATCTATTACTTAAGTAGCTTTCAAAGAGTTTATATGGCGTTCCCCTTATACCTATATTGTATAGAATTTTTAAGAGAATCGGGTGACTAACTGTGTCGAATGCTTTGGCTAGGTCCAAAAATACACTTATGGATGGAGTTCCTTCATCTAGGCTTTTATAGATGTTTTTTGTTAGCAATTCGATTGCGTCTTGAGTCGATTTTTTAGCCTGAAATCCAAATTGGTTTGGTGATATTAAGTTAAATTTCTTAAGATAATTATCCAATCTTTTTTTTATCACTTTTTCAAAAATCTTAGCAAGACATGTTACTAAAGATATAGGCCTATAATTTACGATCTCACTGGCATTGCCACTTTTAAGAACAGGGACAATAATGGAAGTCTTAAAAACTGATGGGCAGTGTCCAGTTTCTAATATTTTATTTATAATATGAGTGAGTGGGGTAGTTATATTTTTACTAATATTTTTAATCATTTCATTATTTATTTTATCTATTCCCGTCGATTTTTTATTTTTTAAAGAATTTATAATATTTTGAATTTCTTGTGGATTTGTTTCTTGTAAGTAAATTGAATTGCTTTGCGGTGGTCTCATTGTAAGAGTATGATTTTTGTTTTGTTTAATTTTTTAAGCTAATATTTCTGTAACTTTAATGTAATGATTATTAAATAAATTTGAAATTTCGTCCGAATCATAAATTAATTTATTATCGCTTTTAATCGATTTTATTTCCTTTTTTTTGGTATCACAAGTTATTTCTCGAATTGTGTCCCATAATTTTTTAGTATTTGATGTGTTTTGATTTATTTTTTGTTTGTAATAATTGTTCTTCGTTTCGCGAATAAGATTAGTTAAAAAGTTTTTATATTGTTTATAATTTCTTTCAAGTTCCAAATTATTGGGATAACTTGCAAGCTTTACCTGCATTTCATTTTTTGCATTAATGGACTTAATAAGGCCTGAAGTTATCCAAGGTTTTCTTTTTCTTTTTTTATGATTCAGAGTTTGAATATTAGTACACAGATCAATTTTGTTTTTTAGTGTGCTAATAAAATCATTTGTTGCTTTTTCAACACTTACAGTTCTATATACTTCATACCATGAGGTATGTTGTAAAATATTGTTAAGTTTTTTAAAGTTTGTATTAAATATATGATTTTTATATTGTGCGTTATTATTATTTTTGCTTATATTTGTAATTTGTAAAATAGTTGGGCGATGGTCTGAGATGGTTGATTTTATTATTACGGGTAAGATGAAATCTGTGTGGTTTACTTTACTTTTAAGAAAAATGTGGTCCAAACATGCCGCCTCTCGTGTAGGTAAGTTAATTGTTGATTGAAAGTTGAATTCACTAAAAGTATCTAGGTATGTGGTTACATCATTATTATTTTTTAATATGTCAATATTAATATCACCCGTAAAGATATGGAAATCATCTGTATTTTTTGTAATATTTTCTAGATATTCCTGTAACTCAGTTATGAAATGTTTAATATCAGATGCAGGCGACCTATAAATACATGAAATTTTCATATTTTCTGTGTTCATACATAATTCTATTTCAATTAGATTAGAATATTTAAAATTAATAATTTTAAAACTAAAATTAAAGCAATCTTTAACATAAACAATTACCCCGTCATTTTGATTATACTTTCCTTGATTGTATATTAGAGTATATCCAGGGATGTTATATAGTCTTATATAGTCTTATATAGTCTTATATAGTCTTCAACATACCACGTTTCCGAAAGAACAATACAATCAAAGTTAGTTTTAATACTTTCCAGGTAGACAATAAAATAGTTAAAGTTCTTAGATATACTTCTTATATTCGTATGAAATAATGAGAAGGAACTTACCCCAGTATTTACTCCAAGAACCTCGCCACATTCATAAGTTGAATTTAACAAGTAGGTTTGGTTGGGATATTCTTGAAAATCTCTTATATAGGGGTTCATATCAAATATAATAATTATTTAAAATTACAGGCAGGTTTATGGCAAAATTATATACGGTTCAGACACATACTAGTTAAAAAAGAATCACATTAATTTGGTAACATAAGAAATTCAAACTAAAATTATTATAATAACAAAGTTACAAAAAGGACTAATATTATTTGACAGCACAAAATTAAAATTAAATTAACAGATAAAAATGTACAGGTAAGATCAATATAATAGGTACTTATAATAATTTTGATTGTAGACGTGTTCGGATACTGGATAGATTTCCTTTGGTTTTTTTGGACTCGGAAGATTCTGTTTCAGGATTGTCTTCATCCAGAGGTCTTTTTTGTGAGGAAGGTTTAGGTTCAGTGGGGATTTCAATTAGATCTTTTTTAAGTTCCTCTACAGTGTAGGTATCTTCTCCGACTATCAAATTACTGCCTCTTATATAAGCTTTAAGTCCTTTTTTCTTTGCTGCCTTTAAATGTGGTACTAAGGTCTTGTTAATTTCTCTGTCCTCTGCAGAAAGATCCTGAGAAATTGATATTCCAGAAGATTTGAGTTTAAAGGCGTTTTTAAACACAAGATCTTTTTTTATACCAGAAATAAATTCGACAATAATGGGCTTAGTCTGTTTATGCTTTGGTCCCAGAAAATATATACCTCCAATGTCTTCCTCTTTTATATCTATATTGATTTTTTCGCTGAAGAGTGCAAGAGTTTCTTGTTTTAAATTTTTATAATCCGTTTCAATTCCAAAAATAACTATATTATTTTTTCTTATTCTTCTATCTAGTGCTTTGACTGTTTCTCTTAGCTGATTATTTTCACTTTCCAATTTTTCAATTTTTTGCTGGCAAGTACCCAGCAATTCGTTAACTTCCGATTTAAATTCTGTGAGCTGGCTTGTGATTTTGGTTTCAATATTTTGTGTCATTTGTGAAAATAATTGTTTTAAATATTCTTTTTGTCCCTCGCTAAATTCCATAGTAATCGTGGATGGAAAGCTTTATCTTTATGTTTGTTCTGTAGTTTTTATATGATTTTTTTATATTGAATATTATTTGTGTTTGTTTACGTACTTGTTTGATATTTGTTTATAGCACTTAAAAGTCATTTCAGATTTTTTAAAAGTCTTTCAGATTTTTTTCACTAATTGTATTATTAGCACTGAGGCATATGATGTATACAAAAAGAATTGCATTTATTTCTTGTTTATCCTGCTTAATTTACTAAATTTGATCACACACTTTTTCTCTTAAACTACTTTGCTAAGGCGACCATACACCAGTGAGATATATAGATTTTAATGTATAATCGTCAAACTAATAGATTAAGATTTGTTTTCAACATATATTTGATATAAAATCTGTTCTTTTATTAAAAAAAAAATCAAAAATTAAAACCCAAAATATATTTTTTTACTTAAAAATAATTTAAAATTAACATTTTCTTTATTATGTAAAAATATAATATTTGAAGAAAAAAATGATTTATAACAAAATATTGAATTAAAAAAGATCAATAGACAGGGCCGGTGAAAGGGGTGGGTACGGTGGGTACTACTACCCACCTGGATTTCTTCAAGGTGGGTAACTACCCACCTGGAAATTGGGCCAAGTTTTTTAATTTTCTTAAAAGAGAACCTTAATCATTGTTAAAAATATCATATTTTAAATATGAACTGGATAGACAGTTTTTAAGTAAGCTAAATGACATTAATGTGTAATATTTCACCTAAATTTAGGCAATTTTCTGTGCTCAGATTTATGAAGAAGAAGAAGAGTTTGTTTCAAGTTGTAAATAGCAAGTGTGTATGTTACCGTAACATTACAGTACGTGCAATACTATAATATATATTAGGTATATCAGGTGTGTTATAAAAAAATGGACCGTTTCGTTATTCGGGCCGGCCGGGGCAAAACGACAAGTGAGGCTGTTCCCAGTTCTAGTCAAGATAAAAGGCAGCAGGCAGATTATGTGAGTGAATCAAATAAAACTTCGGAACGTGAAAATGACAATAGGAAAAAAATTAAGGTTTGCGAAAATATACAGAATGAATCCTCTTATTCTGTAGCCGGTAAGTACAAAAATATTAATATTATTAGTAATAAAAAATCAATTAATTAATCCAATAAATCAATAGGTAATTACTCTAAAAGTTTTACTTCAACTATTAGTAAGCCGCATATCGTATGCCAGGTATATTAGTTTTTAAATACAGCCCGTTCAGAGACTAGAGGCTAAATGTAGCAAAGTATTCCTTAAGGTTATGACGATTAGCTGTCATTTTGGTTATGCAGGTACACTGCATTGTGCCATACCAAACTAACCCAAACTTAACAACCCAACCCAACCGACCCCGCCCCATTGGGCCCCTCCCGCCCCATTGTCACAATCCAGCCTGCCCTTAGATATAGGTATTATACCTCTATTGCTCAATGGGGCGGGAGGAGCCCAATGGGGCGGGATCGGTTGGGTTGGGTTGTTAAGTTTGGGTTGGTTTGGTATGGCACGATGCAGTGTACCTGCATAATCAAGATGACAGTTAATCGTCATAACCTTGAGGAATACTTCGCTACATTTAGCCTCTAGTGTTCAGAGTACAACCGAACATAGGGAAACGTATCGGGCGTGGCCTTACCTCCCTCCAACGCGCAACAAAGAACATAAGAGTGTAAAATACTGAATTTAAAAGGTTTCAAATAATGTATCAGTACATGTTCTTTTTTGTCAATACCATCTTTACAATTTTCCCACAATAAGTTCAAGGCGTCAAGTTTGGAACATCCTGTACACTGGATATATTTTTTTAGAAACCCCAATTGTTCGTCGGCGATTTTCGTTGATATACTATAATAGCCCTGACAACAATCGGGATTTCCTGGTGAAGTCATGATGATATCACAACGTGATTTTTTTATCACGCTGTGATATCCTGAGTGCATACACATGCTTCATCACAGTGATATCATGTAGAACTCACGGTGTGATATTTGCAAAATTTACGCATGCGTATGAGCCCTGCGAACTGCGAATTTAAAACCTAGTTTGCTATTCACATTACACCGTTGTAATTTATAAAACGTTGTCACAAATTTTATTCCTACTGATATCATACGGAAGTCACCGCAAAAAATATTGAATGTATTTAACCACAAAAACTGTTGATTCAATATATATATATAGGTATACTTTTTCTCTCAATGTACGAATGTGGCGCAAAAATAAATATCCAAACACCGATGGCATAAAAAATCACGACATGATTTTTTATGCCATCGGTGTTTGGATATTCATTTTTGCGACGCATTCGTACATTGAAAGAAAAAGTATGTTAACAATTGAATCAACAGTTTAACATTCATATTTTCTTGGATTTAAATCAACTATATATAGTTAATTTAAATCCAAGAAAATATTAAATGTATTTAACCGCAAAAACTGTTGTTTTAACATAATTTTTCTCTTAGTAATAATAATAATAATAATAATAATAATCTTTATTGCCCAACAGGATTCTCCCAATTACAGGACAATGGTATAAATATATATGTATAACAAATATATGAGTACCTTAGATGCAAAACTCGGTTTTTGCAAATTAAAAAATAAAATAAAATTGACTTTAAATTCTGTTTAGTGTTCGTCCTAGATAAATGGCGTTTATAAAACTTGATACATAATAATATATATAATATAATATTATTATGTATCAAGTTTTATGAACGCCATTTATCTAGGACGAACACTAAACAGAATTTAAAGTCAATTTTATTTTATTTTTTAATTTTCAAAAACCGAGTTTTGCATCTAAGGTACTCATATCAAATATATATATATAACACATATTTAAAACAAATATATCGAACATACAATACCAAAACTTAAGAAATAAAATAATAAAAAAAAGAAATAATAAAAAAAAAAACAATATCCTTATTATTTAAATATATCAACTAATAGCTCATTTCCATTTTTGCACATGGTTGTTATTGGTGCTTTTGATAAAATATTTGTTCTGGAAGTGGGAATTTGAAAGGAGACAGAAGTTCTTGAGTTGTTCCTCGGAACATGAAACTGAATCTTCGATAGTAAGTATTCGCAGTCAACTGTACCCCTTACCAATTTCGATAAAAAACGTGCACTTTGCAAATCTCGCCTTGTGTCCAAGTGCAATATTTTGTATTCACTCATGATACTGTCCAGGTTAGCATTTTGTTCTGGGTACGTTCCATAAATTAAGAGATACATGTATTTTAAGAATCTTCTTTGAACTCTATAAATATTTATGCGATGGCATGTGTATATTGGGTACCAGATCAAACTTGCATACTCCAGCTTGCTTGCTACAAATGACATATAAAGAGACCTTATTAAGGAAACATTTACAAAATCTCTTGTGGATCGAATAACAAATCCCAATGACCTTCCGGCTGCTGAACAAACATGTACGAACGTGGCGCAAAAATGATTATCCAAACACCGTTGGCATAAAAAATCACGACATGATTTTTTGTGCCATCGGTCAATGGCAAACAGCGATGGCATAAAAAATCACGATATGATTTTTATTTCTCACGTAGTGACATCCGGATGATGTCCGTATGAATAAAATTTGTGAAAATCACGACATTATGTTCGTATGAATATCACGAATGTTGTCCGGGAGGCAGTGGTATGGCTATTTCAAAAATATGCCACTTAAAGTTATATATATATATATATTTTCTTCACATCTTGGTCCAGGCTAACTGTGCTCTCCTTATCGACTTTCAGAAAAAAATGTTGCAAAACCTGAGATACCACGAGCATTCCAACGTTGGAAAGTAGAACATCCATGGATCGATGTGAATGAACATGCACGTGCGATTTGTACCATATGCACAGAAGCGTGCAAATTGATTGTACATTTTACATCATTTGACATCCAATCAAAAGAAACTTGGGTGGAAAAAGGCTTTAGCACCTGGAAACACGGGGCGGAAAGAATAAAAGCTCATTCGAGAAGTTCGCTTCACATATCATGTGCAGAACTTCTCTTTCTAAAAAATCGTGGAAAAGTCAATATTGCACAACAGTTGTCATCTTCATCACATAAACAAATGATGGATCACCGCACGGCTTTAAGAAAAATTTTTAGTACATTAAGAATTCTGGGAAAACAAGGACTAGCGTTACGTGGATCTGAAAATGATGAGAATTCGAATTTTATGGCTATCCTAAACGCGCGAGCAGAAGACGTTGAAGAGCTTAAATCATGGCTAAAAAGAACTGGACATAAATGGCTTAACCACGACTCACAAAACGAAATACTGCATATGATGGCTACAAAAATAATGGAAGAAAATGTGCAAGAGATTAAGAAAGCGGAATTTTATTCCATTCTTCTGGATGAAACGGCTGACATTTCAAAAACGGAGCAGGTTTCAATCTATTTTCGGATCGTTTCTCCTAATTTTGTAGCCTCCGAGTTCTTCATGGGGTTTTATTCAACAATCAACACCAAAAGTGAAACATTGTTTGACATTGTCAAAGACGTTTTAATACGTTTTAATATCCCGTTGCTTAAACTTAGAGGACAATGTTACGATGGAGCTGCCAATGTTTCAGGAAAAATTTCCGGGTTGCAGCAACGGCTCCTAGAAGAAGAGCCCCGAGCTTTATTCGTCCATTGCAATGCGCATAATCTTAACCTGGCCGTACAAGATGGAATAGAAAAAGTTTTCGAAGCTAGAAAGTTTATCGGTGAGGTAAAAGAGTTAATAAATTTTGTACGCGATTCACCAAAACGTGTTGCAAAATTCCAGCAACTGCAATCAGCTGAGGAGGAAGAGGGTAAGATTGCCCTTGCAGCGTACTGTCCAACGAGGTAAGATTTTAAAATGATTAATTTCTTTATTATAACATTTTATTTCTTTGTTCAGATGGGTAGTGCGAATAAAATCATTAAAAACGGTCGAGGCTAACTTTGAGACCTTACTTACATTTTTTCACGATATTATTGAAGATCATAATGTCGACAGCACTATTTTAGCTAAAGCTTCCGGATTTTTTGAACATATGGGAACATTCCAGTTTGTATTTTTATTAATATCAATGATCGAGAGTTTTAGAAAGTTTTATCGTCGGTGAAAAAATGACTACCGAAAAAGTAAAGGAAATCATAATTTTTTATAAAGGAGATTTTAATGAATTCAGGTTAACAGAAGAAAAAAGTGTAGCTTTAAATATTATGGAACGAAGCGGAAAGAAAGTTCAGAATTTGGGTGATATCGTAAAATTCATGCGGGAGAATGAATGGACTTGTTCCTGAGTATTCCCGATTTATAAGATTACTTTTGACTATACCCGGTTCATCATGTTCAAACGAAAGAAGTTTTTCTGTACTGCGGCGACTCAAAAACTATTTACGTTTGACAATGGCGCAAAATCGATTAAATGACATAGCAATTCTGCATTCTTATCCAGATGCAGTAGATAAGCTCAATTTAGAATTGCTTATGAACGAGTTCATTAGTCGAAACACAAAAAGGACTGCAGTGTTTGCGCTGCAGACATAAAATGTAAGTTGAACAATTGAATAAATTGCATACTTATTTTTGAACAATAAAATGTTTTCATAAATACCCCTCTCCCCTCCCCGTCCGTCGAACTACCCACCTGGACTGAAAACGTTCCACCGCCCCTGTCAATAGATACATATTAAATTGTTGACTTGATAAGTGGACAAATATGTAGAACTTGTACGTAATTATCCTTAAAAAATTCGATTTCCATGTACCGATATACCAGTTAGTAGACATGGGACCCACACCAAACTTATATGAGTTTATAATGAATTTAAATGGATAAGTTCTGGGCAAGCAGAATTTAAGTTTGCGAAAAAAGTTAGTTTTTCAGCATAATTAATATTATTCAAATTAAAGTGGTGCAACTCATAATTCACTAAAGTTTATCGACAAATTTTAAAATCTATTTTAAAAATCCAAGATTTACAGATATTAACCATTTTTAATTTTTTTTTAATTTTAATTTAAAGAAGAATAAAACCCACTACTGAGATATCGGTATACCCAAAATCCACAATCCGCCACCGATGTAACTAAGCTAGATTTAGCAAAATGGAAAAATAGAGTAAGAATAAATTTATATAAAAATGATAAGGCACTACCATAATTGCAGCCGACTTGGATTATGGTAAACAAAAGATCCATGTAATAAAATTGTGTTTTTTAAGTAAAAACGAATTCATTAAGGCAAGTAAAAGGGGTACCTACTAAGAATTTGTTGGGCAAATACGATATAAATTTACGTAATGCCACTAATTGCTTTTTAGAATAAAATTAAAATTGCTGAATCGTATCTAAAAAGTAAATTATATATTTGGTAGATATAGTTTTAATTAATTTATAAAAATTAAATTAACATATTCTAAATTTTTAACTATCACTCGCGATTTTGTTTTATTGCTTTAAAATTATGCAATGTGGTTAATATTTTTATTTAATATTTATAAGCATTTTCTTAACCAGATTCAACTTAATGTTTTAAGTGCATTTTAAAATAATAATAATAAATAATGATGAAATTTTTAAGTTTTAACACTTATTCACACAAATGAAAGGTATACCTAATGATGAAAATTTTAAGTGTTAACACTTATTTAAACAAATATGTGTGTTAAAAAAATGAAAGGTACCTATAAATTTTTAAGTGTCAACGCTTGTTTAAATAAATGTATGTTTAAAACTCGGAAGACAAAAATATTGTGTGGTCCCAATGGAAAATACCCACGTTTATATTGCAAATTAAAATGTCAAAAGTTGCTTATTAAATTTGTAAGGTAAAAGCTAAAATAGAGGTTACAAAATGTCATGACTTTGCAATCCTGAAAATTGTTCGGTAACACGAAATCATCAGGTGGTTGGCTAAAGTATCTACGAACTTCTTATACCCAAGGGAGAAATTCAAAACGATATATGTGGCGCCATCTATGCAATGTTGACTGAACTTTATAAAGTAAAGAATTACCTTAATTTAAATTGAATAGGTATACTTTTCTGTTAAGGTTTTCTGCAACTATATTTTCAAATAAATATATTTTTACTTAATATACCTACAACACGTTGTATTATAATAACAGTTAAGTATGATTTTTATGTTTTGATGTATTGATTAAAATTGTCCAGTGATTGGGGTGGAATTATTTTAAATCCTTCGAATGTGATAGTGGAACGATTTCATAAAACACATCTTTTCGTAGAAAAAGTTAATTTTGCGAGCGTATTTCTCTTAAAAGAATATGATTTCAGGAAGAATGAAATATCAGCAAAAGATTTATTTGCATTTACAAAATACGTAATGTCAGGGGCGCACAATGTGCGCCGCACATATCTATGGCGGTGCCCGAAGCAAATTCACTCAGAGGGTTTTTAATTTCCTAAAGTTATTTTATAAAAATCATTAGTGACTAACATTTTTACAGAATCATGTAGGTACATCTACGACAGGCTGCAATGGTAGCCCAAGCCTTGTAAACACAGGGCCGGCTTTAGCTTTTGCGAGGCCTGGACCATGTTCGATTTCGAGTTCCTTAACATTTCTTTGTGTCTGCGGAATGTGAAAAGTATTATAGATGCTTTTAGGATTAATTATTTATTATAATAAATAATGATAATTAGTATACTATAGTTATAAATTATATAATATTAATTAATAGGTAATAAAAATAATTACGTTTGCATATAATAGGGCCGTGTATAACACCTACCAACATACTATGTGGGTAGGTGTTATACACGGCCATAGCCACCCATCCAATGGATATTCAATGGATATCCCAATATGCAAACGGATACCTATTCAAAAAAATTAAAAACAATTAATTTTTCTTTTTTAAAATGGTCCCTTTCACACCGCAATGAATCTGCCAACCATTCCAGAAATATTCCCTAAAACTTCCGAATATTCCGTCTACTAGGAAGGTTCCACTTCTTCTAGGAATATACTTTTATGTTCTGGAAATACTTTTATATATTTTTATATTTAAATATTAATGGTACATTCTGTCTGAATCTACTACCAATGTTTTTTTTCTTTCAGAAATCATTTCCACTTAGTTCTGGAAATATTCTCCAGGAATATTCAATGAGTAAAATATATATAGGGTTTTATAATTATTCCAATTTCTCGTTATAAATATCAAATTAAACCATTTTGTTGCCGTAAAACATTGGTAAAAAAATAAAATAATAATAAAATAATTCTAACAAAAGTATAATAAACTAAAAAAGCATAAATAAACAAATTGTTTAACAATAATTAAAACACTTTGATTTTTATCTTAATTAAATGAAGAAAAGTCTGAATTTTTTGTCCTGAAATATATTGGCATTATCAATAATGATCAATTGATTTAAATGCTCAATTTTTGGGTATACAGATATCTCAATTATTAGATATGGGACCCACACCAAATTTATATTAGTTTCTAATGACATTAAATAAACAAGTTCTGCGCAAGCAGAATTTAAATTGAAGTTTGCGAAAAAAAGATAACTTTTTGCTCGGCCGTACCGGCCCCATGGCGCCCCCAATAAATATAATATAAATGTAATTGGTGCAATTTATTATTTACCATAGTTTATCGACAAATTTCAAATTTCATTTAAAAAATCCAAATTTTACCGATTTTATACCGTTTTAAATTTTTAATATTTCTTTTCAAAGAAAAAATAAAAATTTAAAATGATAAAAAAAATCTGTATGATTTTTTAAATAAAATTTGAAATTTGCCGATACAAATAAATGTTTGGTGAATTTATAAAAACAAACAAATATTTAATTTAATATTTTAAATAATATTGTTTGTTTTCCAAAATGTTTTATACAACGCTTTAGTGCAACGGCTGAACGTGTTGAAATTATTCTTATTTATGGTGCACAAAACGGTTGTGCTCTACAAACTGCAGTGGCGTTTAATGAACTATACCCTGGCAAAAATTTACGTCATAAATAGATACTCAATGAGGTTAAATTTGGTGTAGATTTCACAATATCACTCCGTTCGGTGTCTAGATTAACAGGGCTTCGCCCAAAGTCTGTTAAAGAGGTGTTAAAACATTACAAATTTAACCCATTCAAAATGTAGACAGGCGTCTGAAATCATGACCAATAAAATAACAAATCAGATCCAAATACTAAAAAACATTTGCTTTAGCGATGGATACTTTTTATCTAAATGGAAATGTTATCAAACAAAATTGTCGTTATTGGAGCATTAAATATTTATCAGAGAAAATCATACCAATTAGGTATCCTAAAAAACTTAATGTCTTGGCAGAAATTTTGGGAGATTGTATTATTGGTCTTTTATTTAAGACCAAAATATAGCCACTAATAATAAACGAACTAAAAAACTAGGGAAATAGAGGAAAGGATGATGAACTAGCTTTGGATAAAAATGTATTACATTTTCAACAAGATCCTCATTATATAGTAGCTGTTAGGGCTTGGCTGAATCGAGTTATCCGGAACAGTGGATTGGTAGAAAAGGACCAATAGAATAGCCTCTCAGATCTTCAGATCTGACACCAGAGTTTTTCTTATGAAATCACTTAAAATCTGTGGTCTACCCTCTAAAAATGAATTAGTCAAAAATTACTAATTTAATAGTTATTAGTGGCTGCTTTTTCACTTGTACCATGTTTAACAATGGAATACTATGGTATCCCAAAATTTAACATCCAATTATTATGTAAAATTATCCCCTGTCTCCGAAAATACCTTCAAAAGTTTAAAAAGTAGAACAGTTTTTGAGATATAGTCAATTTTCCATTTAATATGGAATTGACTATATCTCAAAAACTGCTCCAATTTTATAATTGGCGGTATTTTCGGATTCAGGGGACAATTTTACATAAGAATTGGCTGTTTAATTTTGGGATACCATGGTATTCCATGATTAACCATGGTACAAGTGAAAAAGCAGCAACTAATAACTTAGTCATTTTTGACTAATTCATTTTTAGAGAGTACACAACTTATTCTAATTCCATTGAAGATATGCAACAACAAATAGTTTAAAAATGCCAAGTTATTCCAACAAACATTTAAAATGTTCAAAGGGAATTTAAGAATACTGTACTATTGTTTACAAAATACCCCAATACATGGATTGGCTAGGTTATCGCTGTGCATGAAACACATCTTTTCAAGCTGTGGAAAATTATTAACCGCACAACTCTAATAAAAAATGTTAGACAAAGCCAACATAACGAACGCGTTAAGAACGTGTTTACAGCTTCTACACTGTAAGCGTTCACACCCCCCCCCCAGCAAAGAATCTGTAAAAGTTACACCCCAAGTGATAAATGAAATATAACACCACGGAAAATGTTATTGTAAATTACGACAAATAAATAAAATAAATGGGTCAGAATTTCTTAAACGGGCCACCTGAATTAGGTCAAAATTAGTTTTTGATTGTAGATACATTTTTTCGATAGTATTTTACATCACTAACACAAATACTAAAGGATTTTGTAAAAAAAAAATTTTCAATTGACATATTCAATATTATTCATGATATTAAAAGTAAAAGTTTTTAGTAATTAAAAAATAAAAAAAAATCATTATGGCTAAACTAATTATCCGATTCCAACGATTTAACTAGCGTTGGAATCTTGTTTTGACATAGATTCTTTGTTATTTTTTTCAATTGTACAATTTTCATTTAGGTCGATTTTTTTTTGTTTTTTTTATAACAAATTCGGAAATAATTGGCTTCTGCGCCAGCTATCGACTCGAAAAAAAAAACACATATACTCCAATCATTTTTCGAAATTATGCTGCTGAGAAAAAAAATGGCCCGCAGGTTCCAGACCACCGTAAGACGTCGCGTCACAAGCGCGTACAGCGTACACGGTTCGGAGCGTGAGCTGACACCGCGCGCGGCCACAAAAGGACGAATAACTTTTTGTCAACCTGCGGGCCATTTTTTTTCTCAGCAGCATAATTTCGAGAAATGATTGGAGTATATGTGTTTTTTTTCTCGAGTCGATAGCTGGCGCAGAAGGCAATTATTTCCGAATTTGGTATAAAAAAAACAAAAAAAAATTGACCTAAATGAAAATAGGACAATTGAAAAAAATTACAAAGAATCTATGTCAAAACAAGATTCCAACGCTAGTTATATCGTTGGAATCGGATAATTAGTTCAGCCATAATGAATTTTTTTATTTTTTAATTATTAAAAACTTTGACTTTTAATATCATGAATATGTCAATTGAAAATTTTTTTTTTACAAAATCCTTTAGGATTTGTGTTAGTGATGTAAAATACTATCGAAAAAATGTATCTACAAACAAAAACTAATTTTGACCTAATTCAGGTGGCCCGTTTGAGAAATTCTGACCCAAATACTTACGGTAATTACATAAGCTCATTAATTTAGTAACCCAAGGTACTTTTGAGGTGTATTCATGTAGAAAGTATTTAAAAGGGAAATAATAAATACAGTAAATAAAAGACAATAAATTACTCTTGAACTCAGGTCAAACACCCGGAAGGCTCCCGTTTATTTTTTATATAAATATCGCTCATAAAACCTTCCAAAATGAGGGATTATGGGAGTGAGTTACACGTATAAAATATTTAAAATTTATAACAAACAATAATGATATTTATTTGGATAGAGCAACAAAAATAACCGCAACCCAAACTACATTTAACTTAATTTTCTGAAAGAAAACCACACAATATCTCCTTACTGCGACCACAACCCAAATATAAATATAAATAAATAAATATATAAATACCATTAGATAAATAATACATCATACATCATACTAGACTCTAGTAACTAGAGCTTAGCTGTCGTATGTGTTCCTCGTTTTCATTTTTAGTTTGTTTCTTTGTTTGTTTGTTTATTTGTTTGTTTGTTGGGTGAAAGTAGATTGAGTCTCTATTTTTGTATTTTGAATTTAACTTTATTCATCAAGCATTCCGTCTGCAATAGGCCTCCATCATCCAAAAAAAGTTTTTGTATAATTATTTGCTGTTGAATTTATAGTTTACCATTACATAATTTTTCATGTAATATTTATTAGAGTTCAGGCTTAATCAACTGTTGGAAAAGGAGTAAATAAATTATCAGGCTCGAGATCGCTTCAACTGAGGGTTCGCAATTGTCTATTATGCCTCATTTATCGGCAAACTTTATTAAATTAATAATTACCATAAAATACTAGGTAATCAAAATGACACAAATAACAAAAACAATGTCTGCGTCGCGCAGTCAGATGGAATCAAACCGGCTGGCACCTAATAAAATTTACAGGATAATAATTCAAAAAGGGCTTGTTGCATCAGGACTCCACGGACAGTGGATAAATCAAATGTCGCTATAGTTTGGTTTTTTAATCATGACCCTCACGTGACATATGTAAGGATATAGCTCAGACAATCGTATTGTATTTCCACGCCGCAGGACCACTGGGACGTAGCATATAGCGATAGATAAACGTATGTCTAATAATACCACAACATACGTTCTTTATGTTTATATTTTTATAATAATGGGATCGACAAAGATAGCTAAATGCACAAATGTCTACAAAACTTTGACAGCCTGTCATCATTGGTGTACTTGAATTTTTAAATATTTTCCATAATTTGCGTATTTAAACAATTCAATTTCAGTGTTTAGTTTGTGTTTAGTGTTTTCAGTTCGTTTTTATTATTATTTTAATAAGTTATTGAAAAAAATCAGTTCTTTTCAGAACTAAACCAAATGCCAGGCAAAGTCTTAAATTCCCAATCTAGGGAAATGGTTGCCTCATTATTACATTATTTTATGGCCGAAAAGACCAATGGAGGTCCTTTAATTCCTTTTGAGGCAGTTACAGAGGTAATTTGTAATGTTAATATGAATTTTGTAAATAACATTAAATATTTTAGCGTGTTGCTGCTGCGTTGAATATCAGCAGTAGTACGGTTAAACGAATAAAACAAAGCATTGATAGAAATGAACCGCTTGAAACTCCAGGGCAATCAAGGCCACGGTTATCACTGAAAACCAAAAATTTAGATGACAATATTAAAACAGAAGTTCGTAATATTATCTACAACATGTACAATAAAAGTAAGTAATTGAGTACCGTAAAACCGGGTGGCTTGGGACAGTGCAGGATTCTTGGGAAAACGGAACTTAGTTTAAATTTAATTGCCCCCTCTATCTACATTACACTATACGAACTGGAAAAAAATCACTAAGAAGTCGTCAAAACCCTCAAGTAAAAGAGGAAAATTTGTTTTTTGTTAATTTTTTTAATGTTAGGTATTTTTAAGGTGCTATTACCTAATAAGAAATTGCCAAAATCCTCAGATAAGAGAGGAAAATTTGCCAAAACCTACAGATAAAAGAGGAAAATTTGTATTTAACATGTGATTCAAAAGCTCCCTTGTGGAAATTTTTCTCTGAGAAAGTCTTACTTTCTCTGAAAAAGTCTGAATAATACTTATTAAGTCGGAAAAAGTCAGAATAAGACTTATTAAGTCGGAAAAAGTCTGAATAAGTCTTATTAAGTCAGACTAATAGCAAGATTTGGGAGTCTTCTGGAAGAGTTAATAAGACTTTTTAAGACTTAATAAGACTTTTAGTAGAGAAATGGTAGGTACCTACGGAGATAAAAATAAATATCCCAAATAATTCGTAGAGGTTGTATTTGGTTATCGTAAAATAAAACACATAGAAAAGTATTTATTAACATTTTTGCTGTTGTTATAAGCCAAGTTTATTGCATAATTACCTATATAATAACATAGGTAAGATGTAATAATTAGGTATAACAATTAAAATTTTATACATACGATGCGCTTGACATGCATGCTTCCACCATAGAAAAAGGAGTTGCCACTGTACGTTTTATTTTAATAGTTTCTTTTGATACACGCAAATATTTACCTATCTAAACATTGTTACAAACAATAGACGTAAGACGTAATATCGAGAGACCATCTTAGCTAGCTGACCAATTAGAGCACAGCTGAACTGTCAGTGGGACACAGTGTTGCCGTTTGCAAGTATTTTACTCGAAAATCGGGTATTTTCATAATATTTGCGGGTGATTTGCAAATTTCTATCAAAATAATAACAAAAGAAATTTTCAGTAAATAATATTGTATATTTACTAAATATGCACAATTATTTTATTCTATCTTGTTACAATTTTATTATTATTTTAGTATTTTGTAATTTATGGTCAGGAACTTTTATGGCAACACTGTACGTAAACAGGAAGATCAACCATGATACAAAGATGAATGAAACACGAAGATCAACCATATTTGTCTTATGAGTCTATCGAAAATATCATGTCTATAGACTTGATATTAACTCCTTTTTCTATGTTGGAAACAATGAAAGCATGTTAAGCGCATCGTATGTATAAAATTATAATTGTTATAATTATTACATCTTACCTATGTTAGTATATAGGTAATTATGCAATAAACTTGGCTTATAACAACAGCAAAAATGTTAATAAATACTTGTCTATGTGTTTTATTTTACGATAACCAAATACAACCTCTATGAATTATTTCGGATATTTATTTTTATCGCCATAGGTACCTACCATTTCTCTACTAAAAGTCTTATTAAGTCTGAAAAAGTCTTATTAACTCTTCCAGAAGACTCCCAAATCTTGCTATTAGTCTGACTTAATAAGACTTATTCAGACTTTTTCCGACTTAATAAGTCTTATTCTGACTTTTTCCGACTTAATAAGTATTATTCAGACTTTTTCAGAGAAAGTAAGACTTTCTCAGAGAAAAATTTCCACAAGGGCTTTTTTGTTAATTTTTTAAGAAGATTATTTTTTTTAATGTTAGATATTTTTGAGGTGCTATTACATAAATATTTGTAGCTATTCCTACATTGCCTAACCCTTTTCTATGAGTTTTGTTCTTATTTTGAATAATAATAAGGATTTTTGGTATTTTTTTAATTTTTTTTTTAAATCTAGGTATTGTGCTAAGTCTCCTTCACTATATCACAAGTCCAAATAATATTTTAACATGCTTAAACTGCGTTTAAAATGACTGCCCCAAGTATCCTATAAGCAGGATACTTGGGGCAGTCAGTCAGTTTTTTTTTAAAACCTGGGATCCTTGAAGGTCAACATTTTTTTTCACAGTATAACTTGTTGGTAAGATAACCATATTGGTAAATGCAAAAAATCGGTTTGTTATCTTAAAACCCTTAGAGTATATTCCACAAAAATAGTAAAAAAGTGTGCCAAGTCACCCGGTTTTACAGTAATTCACCCAGATGTGGGTTCTGCTTAAAATGGATTTAATTTTAAATTTAATTTATTTGATCCTGGCAAGACTCATCCACAAAAAGTGTACGCAAACCAGAAGGTTATGATGGAAAACGCTTCATTGTGTTGCATGCTGGTAATGAAAAAAGGTTTTATTCGCGATGCCGCATTGGTTTACTCCACGAGGTCCAAACTGCAGTTGGCGGATTATCATGGTGATATGAACTCAGAAATTTTTTTGAAATGGTTGCAAGAACAATTCATCCCAAATTTACAGGAACCTTCTCTAATTATAATGGACAACGCGTCTTACCATAGCGTCTTAATGGAAAAACAACCAACGGTTTCATGGACTAAAAACAATATTAAGGAATGGTTGGAAGAAAATAATATACCATTAAATAATGATATGTTCAAAGTAGAACTTTTAAATTTAGCCAAGAAACATAAAAAACCAATACGATATAAGGTTGATGAATTGCTACAAGAAAATGGACATGAAGTTTTAAGATTGCCTCCGTACCATTGTCAATTTAACGCAATTGAAATGGTATGGGCCGATGCAAAGGATTATTATAATAAACATATTGGTGAAGATGGCTATGGCAATGATAAAGTGCTTACTATGTGGGAACGGGAATTACAAAAAGTTACTCCAGAATCATGGAAGTCAAAAATAGCACACACTGAAAAAATTATAGAGGAATGGTACAATAAAGAAAGAATCTTGGACGATGATCATGGTCATGAAATGATAATCCACATTGGTAACGTCAACGACGATGAATCGGAAGATGATAGCGATTAAGATATCTTATATATAGATATTAACATATTAATAGATGAAAATAGATCCTTTTAATGCAGTTAAGAGCATTTATCATTAAATTATTAAATAAACCAATATTTTTCAGAGTATATTGCATTTTAATATTAAACAAAAATTAGACGTCCCATTTTTGTCTCCATTTGAGCTTATTGGCGTGTGCAATCTCCACAACTAAATGATTATATAAAATAATATCTTAACCATTGTGCATTATACAAATATTAATATTTCCAAATTAATTAACATACATATTTTGAAAATTTGCAAAGTATATTTTCTCCACGCAGAATGTGTAACGCAAACTATATAATTTAAAATTACAATAATTTAATATATATAAATTACAACGTTTCATTTAATAATATAATTACATAAGAGTTACTGTTGTAATAAATTTGAACGTTCAAATGAAGGATTTAAGTTAAAACGAATCATAATATGGTTTAAGCCAGGCAAAATACGATTCTCATATTTTGATTCGCAACCCAAAGCACAAACGTGTATAATGGACTGCATACGTATACAACATTTCGAACCCCAAATAAAACTCCACGATACGCCACTGATTTTGCCCTCGATTTGATTCAGTTGCTTGACATTGTTGCCGTAGGGCTCATGACTTAAAAATTCAACTATATCGTACAATTACCGCCGTTACTCACTCCAAACGTAATACCAAATAATTAAATATGACTGGTAAAAATTACTTAACTAATTACGGAACACAAATATGAATCTGCGAGTACAATTTAATAAATCCCGTATTCAAGAAAATTGATATTAAATACACTTAATTTACACAGCGTTTATGTTAAATCCCCTTTTGAAATATTTATTTAAAATAATTAAATAAACTCGAGTACAATCCTGACATTCAGCTAAATAAAACTCAATACAGCCCTGCCCTTTTAATTATATAAAATCCCCGTAAAACCATGCCTTTTTAATTTGATAAAATCAAGTACCATTTGTTTATAACTAAGAATCTAAATTATAATACGAAATACCTAGTTTAAACGTAAATTTACTTCTTGTCGTGGTTTACTAAAACGGCAGCCATCACGGCGGAATAGATCGATCTATGACGCCAAGTCAAATGATCGAATATTCATCTTTACACAAGGTATTTGTGTAAACTAATTATACCAAAATGCTCGAGAATATTTACTCTGTATGTCAATTACATTTCCTTCGCGCTAAATTTAAATGTTAGTTTTATTTACATGGCTTTTTGAATACATTTATTTTAAATAATTAGGATCGTAATAACCCATAGTTTGTTTAGTAGGGGGGGTTATTTGCAGATCTCCTCAAGACAGTGGCCAATTTTCCAGAAAAACTGGCCAAAAATCGGAAAATTGTCCGATATAAGCCAAACTTTGTGTACTGTGGTTTCTTGGGTAATTTTTTTCATATATCCCAATATTATTTTAAAATTCAAAATATCTGACACAAAATGTTATTATTGAATGTTATCTATAATCATAAAAAAACATAAATAATTCGTTTGATCAGTTTTATTATTATAAACAAGACAATTACAAATGTACAATTTACGTTTTTTACTAATTTTAATGATGTAATATGCATGAAAGATATACCAAAATGGATTGTCTGATCACTATACCGCGGAAGTTTTCCAGCGATTACATCAAAATGATTATACAGGGCGTTTCATTGGGGGTTCTAATAAACCCACATTTGATGGGTCTATCGCCCTTTATTTCAGAAATACAGGGTGATTTATCAATTTTGCTCATTTCTTTAATTGCTCTTAACTTTTAAACGGCTTCGTATTTTTTTCTTAAAATTTATATACGGATGAAGGGTCTCCTACCTAATGAGTAGGTATACCAAGTTGCAAAAAATTCCAGGTCCGGCTTGGCCAACATATTCCAAATTCTGTGTACCCTCAAAAATTACCCTGTACATTAGAATTTTGAATTTTTTTTCTTCCTCATAAATAATTATTAAATTAGCTACAAACAAATGTACAACTCATCTTTCAACAGAAAAGTTAATCAACCAAATTTTACGTGTGAAAGAACAAGTTTGAACAAAAAAAAAATGCGAGGTGTATTTTTGGTGGTTTTTATTTTACAGAAAATACGAATCCAAAAAGTACGGGGCCGTACTTTTCAAGTAATAAATAAATAAAATTTTAAACATAGTTTAATAGGAACTTCAATATTTATTAATTTTTTAAATAACAAAAAAGGTAAATACCCAACAATCAAAACTTTTTTTTACTCAAAAACTAAATAATAATAATAATAATAATAATAATACCTATTGCTTATTAGTTCAGAAAAAATATCACCGAATGGCGAATAGTCATTGTTGCTGATAAATAATTGCAGTAGGCTCTGGAATTAAAACGTTATCTACTGTTGCCCTTCATTTGTTTTTTTTTTGCATAGAAACTGTCAAACAAATTTAATTATTAATACTTTTGGAAATAAAATTAAAAAGTATTAAGAAATGCCGATCCAATATTCCCATCGAGATTATGCTGATATAATTTTTGTAGACGGGTTTTGTAATGGTAGTGCACGGGCGGCGAAAGAAGAATATGGAAGGAGATTTCGCAATCGAAGACATTTCCCAGAGCTTTCGGATACCTTAAAGAACATGGGACATTTCCCACTGTAAAATTAAATGAGCACAACGAAAGGAGCCACCTAAATCAGGAAAGTAATATCCTGAACATGGTTACCAACAATCCGCAAATTATTACCAGACCAGGGGCACACCCTTGTGGTGTGTACGGGTATAGCGAACTCGGGGTACCCGAGCTAAGCCCGCCTCCGGGCCATTGGGGGATATGGGAGGAAACCTAGAAAGAAAACCGATCATGGAGGAAGCTACAGGATCGAAACTTACGGTGCAGGGGGTTGGATCCCCAGTACCGGCGGCTAAGAGTGACCGAGCAGGCTCGAAGTCGTCGTCATCCAGCGGCTGCAATGATGCGGGGTTCCGCTTGGCCCCAACATCAGAAAGTGCTACAAGTAAATCTTCAAAAGATAACCATATCGCCACAGAGAAGGATGTCAATGTAACCCGGTTCCTGGTGATCAAAAGAACAGATGAGGAGAATTTTTTTAAATTGCTTGGAGAGGTAAAAAGTATCAAAAAGATAAGAGATGGCATTTTAGTTGAAACAAAATCCAATAAACAATCTATAAAGCTATTAAATTTAGTGAGATTTGGTGAATATGATGTAAAGGTACTAAAACACAATACCTTTAACACCAGTAAGGGAATCATTTATTGTCCAGATCTTCTTAACTGCGAACTTAAGGAAATAGAAAACAGTTTAGAAGATCAAGGAGTACTGAATGTTAAAAGAATCACGACAAAAAAGAAGGAAAGGATAGTGGATACCCCTAACCATATTTTGACCTTCCCTAACCATATTTTGACCTTCAATACTCTTGTTATGCTAAAAAATGTAAACGTAGCATTCTACCGTCTGGAGGTGAGGCCTTATATCCCCAATCCTCTGCGGTGTTTCAAATGTCATAAGTTTGGTCACGTCTCGGATAAGTGTAAGAGCGAAGAAGTGATATGTGTCTGTGGTAAAAATCTGCATGAGGGAACCCCTTGTCAAGTAACAATTTCATGTCTAAACTGTAAGGGACCACATTCTGTTCGTTCCAGAAACTGTCCCATTTTTCAAAAAGAATATGCAATTCAAAAAATTAAAATAGCCGAAAGAATTTCATACAGAGAGGCGCAAAAAAAGTTTAGTCAAAGTCAACCTTCAACACTCCCAAAAACATTTTAAGGCCGCTCAATCGCAAAATAATGCAAACCACACCATAGTTAAACAAATAGTTAAAGAACTTCTTCCTGAAATTGCCAATATTTGTAGAGCTATAATAATAGAGGAAAAATCATTTGTTAAGCCTAAAACAGTGTCAACTAGTCGAGATCGATCAGTCACAACCAAAAGTCTGGAGGTCTTACTAGATCCCGCCCAATTAATGAGCCAGAGTTCTCACAATTCTAGATCGAGAACAATATCGGAATCATCGTCCAAGAAGCGTTTACGCACCAAAGACGATAATGACTCTGATAACTCTCAATATAGTTATGTAAGCGAGAACGGAACAAAAAAAAGTCATAGATTCAAGCAATTTGCTGAGGCATGACGTAAGGCTTATTGGTCGATAAGATCCGGGTAAAGGTGGGTCTTTATCTTCCTTTAAAAGAGGGAGAACAGAAGCCTCCATTGAGAAGGATACCGGTTTTGGGTCCAGATTTTGTTGAAAACTTTAACGATGTAGTTTTTAAACTCTCCATGGGCCTGGCGACAAAAATCATATAAGATTTTGTCTGGACCAGGGCAGCTTTTCGCTGTTTTTCCTATCAGCGTCAAGTTCTTCTATCGTAAGAGTTGTGTTATAACTCAGGTCTTCGTATGTAGAGAAGTCCAGATCGAGTTCTCTATTTGCCCTGTGTTCTGTAAAACCTGCATCATAATTATTTGAGCTGCTGACCCTCTGAAAGTGGTCAGCTAGTTTTTCTACAATTACCTTCCTATCGGTTATATTAACGTCGTTCTCTTTTAGGTATGGTATATTATTAGGTCGTTGATACCCTGACATTTTTTGTATTTTCTTCCATATCAAAGAGGTAGGAGTCTCGGGAGTGATGCTGGCCACATAATTTTCCCATGAACTTATTTTATATTTAATGACCGCACGTCTAGCCTTGGCTCTTGACAGTTTGAAACGAATCAAATTTTCAACCGTCCTGTGCCTTTTAAAGAAATTAAAGGCTTTCTTTTTTTCCTTTATAAGGATTTTAATTTCATTGTTCCACCATGGAACTCGCCTCTTTGCCATGTAGTGGCCTTCCGAAGTTGGAACACTTTGTATAGCCGCCTCCACGAGGTGATCCGTTAGAGTTTTAATCTCGTCGTCCACCGGTATACTGTCCAGGAACTCCGGGGTGAATAAATTGGCTCTAAATGCGTCCCAGTTGGCTTGGTCTACTTTCCATTTTGGAGGAAAGTAATGCCAAGCACGTACAACATTAAATTCAATTTTTATTGGAAAGTGATCGCTGTTGAAGAGATCTTCTAAAACCTTCCATGTCAATCGCGGTACCATTGACGCGGTATACATGGTTAGATCCAGGCAAGAAACTACTGGAGCGCGCGTTAAGGTATGTAGGTGACCCATCATTTAGGAGGATAATATTTGCATGTCTTATTAGGAAATTTTCTATCAGACTACCACGCGCATCCAGCCTTTCTGAGCCCCACAAGGGGTTGTGGGCATTAAAATCGCCCACCAATAGGCAAGGGTGCGGTAATTGCAAGAAAACCCTTCAAGTTCATCTAAGGTCCAATCAAACCGTGGCAGGTAAATGTTGCATATATGTAACAGACATGGATAACGAATTTTGACAGCTACAGCTTGTAATGTAGTGTCAAGGGGTACAGTTTCTACTTTTATGTCCTTTCTGATGGCTATAGCGACTCCACCATTTGCCCGTCGGTCAATGGTAGCGTCGTGCCTGATGACCGCATACTCTTTTAAAGAGTATGGTTGACCTGGTTTAAGGTGAGTTTCTTGAAGACAAATGCAGAAAGGGGAATATTTATTTATTAACAGTTTTAGAAAAGGGTATCTTGTTACTATACCGTTACAGTTCCACTGAAATATGCTTTCCATTTTAGTATAATTAATATAAATAAATTACGGAGAGTAAAATAAATAAGTATTTGGTATAAACAGGTAAGTATAAATAAAATATGTACAGGTATGTATAGATAAAAATATAAATAAATAAATGGGACTAAACAAATGAATAAAATAAATAATAAAAGATAAAATATCACAGATAAGGCGGTGATTACCCTGGGTCCATAAGGTCATCGACTGCGGGGTACTCACCATTGTTGGTTGGCTTTCGGGGTTTTCCTTTGGGCCAATAAGCCTTACGTCATGCCTCAGCAAATTGCTTGAATCTATGGTAAACAGGCGACTTGTGTGGTGTCTCGAAAGCAATAATCATATCTTACAATATCAGGCGGGCTTTCGGGCTGGTAGATCAGCTATTGACAACTTGACATACCTCGAACACGCGATCCAGGCATATGATATGACATGGAGGTTTGGGATCCTGCAATATCTTCATGAATGGGGGTATCGCGGTAACCTACCTCTATTCGTGGAATCCTTTTTAAAAGAAAGATATTTTCGTGTCCGTCTTGGTAGTGTCTCTTCTAATCTCCGTATTCTCGAAAATGGAGTACCTCAAGGTTCCACCTTGAGTGTAACTCTCTTTTCAATTGCTTTAAATAAAATCTGTGATAATTTAAATGTAAATATTAAACGTAGTGTGTATGTAGATGATATCATGATCTTTATTTTCGGTCCGATAAGATCAAATATAAATAGACAGATGCAAATGGCAATAGACGAAATCGTACGATCTGGCGAAAGCAGAGGTTTCAAGTTTTCCCCCACCAAATCAAAATCTATGCATTTCTGTCACCTGCAAACCCCTCACTACCGTCCTGTTCTAACACTAAAGGGTAACCCTTTAATGTGTGTGCCCGAATTAAAGTATCTTGGCATTATTTGGGATGAACGCCTTGCTTGGAAAAAACACGTAGAGTACCTAAAAGGAAAAGTCTCCAAAACCCTTAACCTAATTAAATGCCTCTCCCATACAAAATGGGGAGCACACCGAGATATGCTACTCACCCTTTTCAAATCATTAGATATCTCTAAATTGGACTATGGATGTTTTGTATACGGTTCCGCTCCAAAATCCACATTGCAACCCCTAAATGTGCTACATAATACCGGAATACGATACGCCATAGGAGCTTTTCCAACAACACCCGTTCATACGTTACAGGTAGAATCTGGAATTATGTCTTTGGAAAAAAGACGAAACCTATTAGCACTTACCTATCAAATGCAGAAAATGGGGAAATAACAACTTTGTCCTTCCTTATCTGATTAACGATGTCATGTCATTGACTACTAGGTATACACCATTTATTTCCAAGGTAAAATTAATGGCCGAAGAAATACATCTAAATATGCCGATTGGCGATGGATCTTTCTTTCCAGATAATCCACCCTGGTCTGCCGAGTATCTTGACGATCTTATTTCTCTGAAACTTGAAAAAAATCAAATTACCAAAAATATAAAAAACCTTTTAATGAAAAAATGGAGCGAGGAATGGTCAGAGAGGGAAACCTTTCTTAATCAAGTTACGGACTCGGTGACTGGAAGCAAAACATCAACCCTAAGACGTAAGGAGCAAGTCGTTATAACACGATTAAGTTTGGGTCACACCAAGATAACGAAGACCTACCTCTTGGAAGGTGCCGCTCCACCTACATATGAAGGCTGTAGATGCATTCTTTCTGTAAAACATATTCTTGTAGATTGCCCCTCTTTTCATCAGGAAAGAGTGAGGCACAATATTTTTCAAGTTGACCTGAAAGAATTACTTAATTATAAGTCTAGTCACATAAAAAACGTCCTTACCTTTTTGGAGGAATGCAATTTCTTGAGAGAAATTTAAAAACTGTGATATTTTTATTTGTTTGTAACTTACGTACCTGTGATACTTGGTAAATGTATTATGTTAATTATTCACTTTTGTTTAATAAATTTATTCTTACCAATTTCGGGAGAGGTTTTTAGCCGGTAAGAGTCTACCTAGCGTGATATTTTCCGTGATAGGTGTCCATGAGGATTTTCCTCTCCGGTTACGGTGCCAATGGCCCAGGTAGTCGACGCACCCTAATGTTTAAAAAAAAAAAAAAAAAAAAAATAATAATAATAATAATAATAATAATAATAATAATAATAATAATCTGGAAGCATGGGACACCTTCCCATGAGCGAACACCTGTAACCGCAACCAGACGCGTCCCCAGGTGGCGGATAGGGGAAGGCCCGCTGGGTGGCAAGCCAGCCACTTGGTGGGTAGGGGGGAATTTCCCCCCCGCGGACCAACAGGATTGCACGCGAGATTGTCCTGCACTGTAACCCACTGGGAGTACTGAGTACCATGTTTCCGGGAAAGGTTGATGTGAGCTTGCTCTGCCGAGGTGTAAGTTGCAGTGTAGGTCTGAAACCAGCCACTTCGGTCCCTAATCAGGAAGTGCACATTGGATGTAGAAGTCTGATTCCACATTGCTTCGGGCGAGCCCCTATCCGTCCGAGTATACCGGGATAGGGAAAACGAAGGCTGGGCCTCGGGGAACTGGGGTAAGCTTTTTCTAGAAGAAGCTGAGGGTATACCCGTTCCTGGCTATTTCGGCCCGCCCCTATGCGCACGATGCGCTGGCCAAAAAAGTTATGGGCAAAAAAGATACATTGGAAACAACGAAAAAAAGCCTAGAAGATGGGCATAAATCTTCAAATCAAAACCCGGGTAACTCCGGAGATTTTGTCAAAGAAAAGGAGGTTATTCCCCGGTTCTTGATAATTTCAAAACGCGAAGGAGACTTTTCAAAGGAAAGTCCCTTTACTATTTCAAAAACTTTGTTTGGTCTAGTTGGAGAGGTACGTAATAAAAAAAATTAAAGATGGTCTACTAGTGGAAGCTAAAAATGATAAACAAGCCAAACGACTACAAAGTTTGGTGCGTTTTGGTGAAGTTGATGTGGCGGTAAAGACCCATCAAACATTAAACTACAGTAAAGGTGTCATTTACTGTAATGACCTACTAAACTGCAGTGTGGAAGAACTTAAGGAGCATCTGCTCGTTGAGGGAATAACAGATTTCAAACGAATACAAACAAAAAAAGATGGCAAACTTATAGATACTCCAACCCACATAATAACATTTAACTCACCTGTCCTTCCAAAAAAAATAAATGCTGCTTTCCATAGATTAGAGGTAAGACCATATATCCCTAACCCGTTAAGATGTTTTAAATGTCAAAAGTTCGGCCACACTACCGATAAATGTGAGTCCAAAGTTCAAATTTGTACTTGTGGACAACCTCCCCATGAGGGAACACCCTGCACCCTCCCAATCAAGTGTGTGAACTGCAGCGGAGACCATCCGGCGAGGTCCAGGTCTTGCCCGGTTTATCCGGAAGAGGCTGCAATACAAAAAATCAAAACTCTAGACAAAGTAACGTATTTTGCGGCTAAACGTCGACACAATATGTCAAAAAATATAAACCCACCCAAAAGCTTCTCGGATGTTGTCAAAACCACTGCACCAGCGGCCAGTAACCTCAAAATAGAGAATATTGTAAAAGCCTTAATTCCTGAAATAACAAAAGTTGTTATTTCTATCATGAACTGATAGCCTCGCTAGAATTAAGTCAGAATTATCAGTATAGTTTGAGGTCAAGAACGAATTCGGAGACATCCTCCAAAAAGCGCTCACGCTCTGTGAATGATGATGACTCCGACACATCTCTGATTAGCCATACTAGCGAGGGTGGGACTAGAACAAAAAAAAAAGGATGGCCCTTGGGAAAACCCCGAAAGCCACCCAAAAAAAATGATGATAAGAACGCATCTGCCCATATGGACCAAGGGTAGTCCTTCTTTTTTCTCTGTGATACTATCTGTGACAAATTTAAATTTACATTTTAATTATTTTATACTTACCTGTTTGCACGTCCTTATTGATCTTATTTTATTTACTTACTTGTTTGTATTTCGCCTTTATACACTAATCTATTTATTTTTTATTTATTTAATTATCTATTAACATGGAATCCATAATTCATTGGAACTGCAACGGTATTATATATAGAAACTGTCATTTAAAACTCCTTTTGAATAAATTTAATCCCTTCTGCATATGCCTACAAGAGACCCATCTCAAGCCGGGTCAGCCATATGCCCTTAAAAATTACAGCTTTACCAGATTTGATGCTGTAGTTAACGAGAGAGCAAACGGTGGAGTCGCTATCGGTGTCAGGAAGGATCTGAAAGCAGAAAGAATAAATATTAATACCAATTTTACAAGTTGTTGCTATAAAGATTACCTACCCTGTTTCTTTGTGTCTATGTAATATATACCTACCTCGTTTTGACTGGAACTCTGCAGAAATTGAAAACGTTATCTCTCAATTACCACGTCCATATATCATAGTAGGCGACTTTAACGCCCACAACCCACTTTGGGGCTCTGAAAACTCCGATGCCCGTGGTGAAATAATAGGAAATATTATTCTAAGAAATTCGGACCTTATATTACTAAATGATGACTCACCCACTTATCTGAACTTCCGATCACAGAACTTTTCACGTATAGATCTTTCCTTATGCTCCTCCTCAATCGCTTGGCGTCTGAAATGGAGGGCCTTGGAAGATCTATACGACAGTGACCATTTTCCCATAAGTATAGAGTTTAATGATAAACAAACGCAGCAATACATACCTGCAAAATGGAACTTGGGTCTAGCCGATTGGGATAAGTTTAGGTCTTACTTGACAACTCCAACATTGACTCAGGAAAGTTCTGCCGATGCGGACGTCGCCATCCTTACGGAGAAACGGCGCATAAGGGTGTTCCAAGGTCTGGTAATCACTACTTGAGCAAAAAACAGGTACCTTGGTGGAATAGCGAAGTCCATGAAGCTATAAAAGAAAAGAAAAGACTATTTAATACATTTAAAAGACACCAAACTCTGGAAAAATTAATAAATTTCAAAATTGCCAGAGCCAAGTCAAGGCGAGTTATCTTAAACTCCAAAAGATCTTCCTGGCAAAAATATGTAGGGGAGATTAACCCATCCACACCAACATCATTGGTGTGGAAAAAAATCCAGAAAATATCGGGCCGCAAGCAAATTTCTCAAATAAATAATCTTATAGTTAACAATGCCGTTATAACAGATAAAAACCTTATAGTAGAAAAACTTGCAGACCACTTTCAGAACGTAAGTAGTTCTCAAAATTATGATGTGGACTTTCTGGAAACGAAACAGGAACAAGAAGCTGAACTAAACTTTAATACTCAAGAATTCCACCCTTACAACGAGCCGTTTACCAACAATAAATTGGAGCGTGCGCTTAAAAGAACAAACAAAAGTTGCCCAGGACCCGACAATATTGTCTACGACTTTTGTAGGGAAGCCCATCAAGAGTTTAAAACATATCTTCTTAATGTTTTTAATAAAATTTCCTACTAACCCAGTTTGATATCGTCCAATAAGCCTTACGTCATGTCTGAGCAAAGTCCTCGAATCAATGGTGAACAAAAGACTGGTCTGGTGTCTGGAAAGAAATGGACAGATTTCAAAATGTCAGTCCGGTTTCCGTACCGGAAGATCGACTTTGGATAATTTGGTTTATCTTGAACAGGCAATCAAAACAGCCTTTAACAAAAGGCACCATCTTAATGCTGCTTTTTTCGATATAGAGAAGGCTTATGACATGACGTGGAGATATGGAATCTTGGAAACTCTCTACCGATGGGGTTACCGTGGGAATATGCCAATTTTTGTCAAGTCCTTTTTAAGAAGTCTGTTCTTTCGTGTCCGTATAGGTGAGTGTATTTCTAGTCAAAGATCTATGGAAAATGGGGTCCCCCAAGGTTCCACCCTAAGTGTAACTCTGTTTGCAAAAGCAATTAATTCTATCTGTAATACTATATGTGATAATGTATATCGTAATATATATGTTAATGATATCGTAATATTTATGTCAGGACCCATTAGATCCAACTTAAACAGAAAAATGCAAGATGCCATCAACCAAGTGGTCGAGGCAGGGGAGAGAAGAGGTTTTAAATTCTTTATCTCAAAATCTAAAATCATGCATTTTTGCCATTTAAGAACTCCGCATTACCGCCCTTGTCTGTTTATGAAAGACTCTCCACTGGACTGCGTTTCCCAGCTAAGATATCTGGGCGTAGTTTTGGATGAGCGCATGTCGTGGAAACCGCATGTCGAATTTTTAAAAGTCAGCGCATCCAAGGCGCTTAATATTATTAAAGTTTTGTCTAATACACGATGGGGAGCACACAGACAATTTGACAGTACTTTATAAATCCTTAATTCAGTCTAAACTGGATTATGGATCTATTGTCTTTGGTTCTGCCCCTAAATCTACCCTCCGACCCCTAGATGTTATTCATAACACAGGGGTCCGTTTAGTTTTGGGGGCATTTCGGACCAGGCCTACGTGCAGTCTGCATGTAGAGGCAGGGATTATGGCTCTGGATAAAAGAAGGTTTCTTCTAGCTCTTAATTATATTGCTAAAACAAGAAAATGGGGTCTTAACAACATAACTAGACCGTATCTAACCGATAACTTAGCAGGAAGACAGGGGTCAGTAAGAAGAACTTCCCTACTTACAAAGGCCCTTCTCCAAGCCGAGGGGTTACCCATTAATATGCCATTTGAGGAAGGTTCTTGCATTCCAACCAACCCACCGTGGATGCAAGAATATGAAGACAATATTATGGAACTTAAACTTGAAAAACTGCGGATTTCCGGAGATCTTAAAAATTCTGTTTTAGCTTTGTGGGCAGAGGAGTGGTCTGAAAAAGACACCTTTCTGAATCAATTTATTGATTCCGTGGAAGGTGTTAGGGTTGCTGGTCTAAGTAGAAGAGAACAGGTGATTATTACCAGATTAAGACTGGGTCACACCAAGGCCACTAAATCTTACATCCTAGATGGCGTAGAATTACCTGAATGTGATGGCTGTGGAGAAACCCTTTCAGTCAAGCACCTCCTAGTAGAATGTCCTACTCTTCATAACCAAAGAATACTACATGGCATAGCTGACCTGGAACTAAATGTCTTACTCAATTATGACCCTGAAAATACAGCAAAAGTTCTCACCTACCTGAACGACGTAAATTACCTTCAGGAAATCTAATTTCCTGTACATAAGATATATTTCATTTGTTTATTTGTACCGTTATTTATTTACACTTACCGTTCCTTGTTTGTCTTGTACACAATCTGAGAGGTTTTTAGCCGGTAGGAGTCCGGCACTACCCATGTACATTTTAGCTCGGGTGTCCATGAGGATTTTCCTCTCAGAAGATTGGTGCCAATGACCTTAGCAGTCGACGCACCTTAATTTAAAAAAAAATAATAATAATAACAATAATAATAATAATAATAATAATAGTAATAATAATAATAATAATAATAATAGTTCATGTTATGCTCTTAGAAGGTTGCATCAAATTTGTAATGAAAAAGTGGTAAAAATGTTTTATAGCTCCAATATTTGTTAAGTCAAATATGAATAAGTTTAGATTGCAAAATGTACAACACGATTATAGCACACGCAGAGGTAATGAATTATAATTTGCTCTGCACAGATTGGAATTGTATTAATCAATTCCATTTTATATTGGATGTGTATTTAAATTGCCATTATCAATTAGAAACTTACCTACTTAAAACTATTTATGTCAAATCAAAAAAATTCTGATTGAAAATGCATTTTATTCTATAAATGATTATTTGCAGTGTCATATTTAGTAAATTTTATGTGGTTTCTTCTTTTGTTCTGTTTTATGCATGAATTTTCTCAATGATTTCGGTAATGCAATGTAATTATTTTTTTGTTGACTTGTCCTATGTCATAGTATGATCTACTGGATGAATAAAGATATGTATTTATTTATTTTATTTATTTATAATACAATTAATATAACAATACAAACTTAATCACTATTAGAAGTCGAATGATCTTCTGAATATGGGGTAACATTGTTATCCGATGAAAACTTTAATTCTCCCATGTAGTGATAGATATGGCCTGTAATTAAAATATCTTGGGAGAGATATACTCAAATATACGATAAACAACGAAAAAATCCCTTGGGGATTAGCTATCGTATATGATAGGGAATCCCAGAGAATCCAAAAACCCGACATGACGCAGCAGCTCGCCTGCTGCCACTTGAAAACTACGGCAAAAAAACTGAGGCCAAAAATGCAGTGGTGCCTCGTGGCACAAGATCTTGTCAAATATCAATAGATTACACTTAAGCCCACATAAAAACAATTGGTAGACCGCTCTGAGCGGCCGTGCGGTAGATTTTTTTCAGTATGATGCAAGTTATTGAAATGCCGCCCTTAACGGCCGCCATTGAAATTTTTTATCTTTAATAACCTTCGATTGAGACTCACAAGAAAACTGCATGAAATGTATTAAAACTGTTCTTATTTTGAAAAAAAAACATTAATATAATCTATCTCTAACAATAATATTAAATGTCATCTAAAACAGGACTTTACTATAATTTTATCCTTCTAACTTTTAGGTTAGCAAATTTGTTAACTAAAGATGTGTAATGTAGAGTGGCAGCTAATGTAGAT